TAAAATTTCATAAAAATTGTAGCCACTTCCTTTCTTTATCATAGGCGTCGGAACCAGGGGGGGGGGGGCCTAGGGGAGCTTAGCCCCCCTTTTTTCCCAATATATACTTAGTAAAGACATTGAACCTTGTCACATAGGTTTAGCCCCCCCCCCCCCCCACTTTCCAAAGACACCTCGCAATATTTGACCGAGTTTAACCAACCGTGCCATTCAAAGAGAGGTCTCTTAGACACATGTAGAACACAGTAAAGGTTGTTTTGTCAGAGGTGAACAAGAAGCCTTTAGCCCCCCCCCCTTTTTGAAGTCGCCAGGAAATGGTAAAATATTGATGACTAAAGCGAAATCAAAAGATCAGCAGTTATGTTCTCTCATAAACTGTATTCCTGAAACTATCACTGTCTCTGCTAAAATTTTGAAGACATTTTCTGCAAATATGTTTGAATGATAAATAAAAAAGAAGATTTTTTAAAAAAGAGAAAGAGGGTTCTTTTAGCCGAAATTTTAGACATTTTTATCATTACATTATTTATAAATTCAAAAATAAATTTAATTTTATGCACAAGATGAATGTGAAAGTAATTAATGAAGCATAATTAACGACGCCTAGATACGATAGACAATCCCTTGTTACATGGCATCATATCTGGTGTGTGAAATGTGTTTCCGTATAATTTGATTTATTTACAAAGTGTTCATGTTTGTCGTGTTGATGTGGAATTATTATAAATTCCCGAATTCTGATACTTTACAATTCTGTTGTGTTGGGAATGAACATTAGGAAGATGCATATACTTTCAACATAAGGTAAAATATAAAGCAAATTGAACGCCTTTTTGTGTGCAGATCATGAAATGTACTGAGCTCCACGGGTATTTGTTGTCCCGAGCGCATTAATCTTGAAGCCTAAATTCTTACTTGGCTAGTGATACCTTTAGAAAACATGTGTATCTAGATGAAAGTTAACTTGGCAACATGCGCCATCCCATTCTTTAAGTTTTATTAGGTGTTTACACCTCCTATACCCGATTTCGCGGATTCAACGATACCCTAATATCGAGTATTATACGCGATTTCACGGATAATACCCGATTTCGAGTATTCTCTCCGACCTGTTTAACATAAAATTGCTTTCATCTGACGAAATCTTGTTTTAGCGTGAAAAAAGTTTTCTAAAATTAGAAGAATCTCAACAAGACGTTCACCGTTCGCTCTTCTTTCCGTTTACTTTGCGTTGAACTTGCGTTCAGCGTTCACTTATCGTTCAGTCTTTATTGTCATTTGGAGCTCCGGGGTGAAACGACTTATCTTTTTTATGGTAGGGATTTACAATTTCTTTATTTTGATAACTAAGATATCGTTTTTGAAGAATTATTATTTAATGGGGAAAATTTTCTACGACATTTATACTTTTATTATTATAACTTAGCTGTTACTGCATACATGAAATTTCTCTGGAAAATACATGTTGTTATAAGCACATTAAGGACCTACATGTATGTATAATGATACTTCAAGCATGGCAACATTTTGTTGATATGTAAAAGACGACAAATCGGTAATGTATGGATAATAATCCAATTCTTTTAATTTACCAATAGCGGCAACTATACAAAACATATTTCTAAAACTTTTTTTATTGCTCGAAAACATGTCAGAACTAGTTATGTGAATTATAAATGAACAGTAATGCAGATATTTAGTTAAGGGACGGATATGGAGATAACGAGCAGTATTCAATATCAAAGTCCATAAAACAATACAAATTAGAAGCAGAGCAAACACGGACGTTCAAAACATCAGATGTGGGATCAGGTGCCATGGAGGAGTGAGCATCCCCTGTTGTCCGGTCGCGCCCGCCGTGTACTCCTTGACATGATTGGGAAATAAAGGTAAAAAACCGTAGTCAATTCAGTGTATAAATAATGGACTAACAATTAGTATGAAAGACGTCATTCAGCATTTGACTCAAGATAAATTTGCTGACAAGTCATTGTCAGCAAATTGGTAGCGACCATAGAACTTACGAAATGATGACTTTAAACGAGACTGCTGATATTCTTGTTTCATCAACTTGCTTGTCAATAATTTACCTCGTTTTAGAAATTGTTCATACGTAGAGCATATCTTGCGTATCGAATCAACTAAGATATATACACTCCGTATGCAGGTGATGAAGGTATTTCAGCAAAAGTAACGGAAGCTGACGATAGAAAAGTTAAAGTCATCACGTTTATCAAATAGCTTGGTTGTTAGATTATCATTAACGTCGTTTTCAGGTAAAATATCCAAGTAGGAAACAGATACGTCAGACGCTGTGGTATCTTTTATCTCAAGCTCACCAAGATATATAGTATCGACGTAGGAATGGAAATTACCATTGTTAATTGACAATACATCGTCGAAATATCTAAATGTCGAGTTAAAGGCTACAGCAAGTGTTTTCTTCTTTTCACGCATAAGATTTTGCACAAATTCTGCTTCATATGAAAATAAAAATAGGTCTGATAATAACGGAGCGCAATTGGAATAGATTGTTGGTTACCTGGTCTCAGAGTACTTGTGTATGCAATCAGAAATGTTTTAACAACATAATTTTTCAAATGACCAATGACCAGGTAAGTAAGTAAAGAACTTTATTCGGTAATAACAAATATTTGCCCCCCAAATCAAACTTTGATGGAGATATATTTAATTAAGTTCTTAAACAGGGGAGTATATGCTGACTTCAAAGCACTGAATATTTTCATAAGTAATGACGCCATATGTACGTGATGACGTCACAAACATGACGTAAATTTCAGTTTTTTTTTTTATGAATTTTACAGAAAAATGTACATAGTTCGTCGATATTTTGAGTAAAAGTCACCGAGCGCATGTCTGTTCAGGATCAATATTTTGATATAATGTGTAGAATGATAATATCAATGAAATATGTTAATATTGTTCCTGAACAAACTTGTGCTCTATAAATTTTAAAGCTAAAATTGTTGAAATTTTGTCCATTTTTCCTCTTTCTGAAAAAGAATATAACATCGGACTAGTTTGTGACGTCATAAAAACAAAAATTGTGAATACACTGCTTTGACACTATGATATTTTTTGTTAATTTATATTTCTCATACAACTTATTGAATTCAGCCCATTTCAGGAAGTTTTCAAAATTTGACTTTTGTGGGGGCAAATATATGCAATATACCGCATATAGTTCTTTACGAATTCCATTTTTATTGAAAAGCAGCTGTCAGTGATATCAAAAAGCCAGGACTTAAATTTATCGTGGGTAATGGTTGTGTATAAAGTTGAAAAGCCGTAAGTTTTTAAGCTGTTGATTTTGGTTTCAAATTGTCCAAAAGTTCATTGGAATTCTTGAGCATCTACATCTGATTCACACCACTTCCTGAAAATATTAATCCCCCCCCCCCCCCGAAATCGATTTCTTAGCTAGCATTTACTGTATATTTCAATTAATTCAGTCTTAAAACAAACATCAAAACAGTCAGTAAACTATAGTATTTTAAAATATACACGTGCCGGCAATGTTATTTTAAATTGGCAGAATTTCAAAGTATATATTCCCAATATTATTTAAATATTTTTTTCTTCAGAAATGTGGAAATCAGATCTAGAAATGATAGAAAAAATGTTAAAACTTCTTGGAAAATTTTTATGCTTAGTGACTCTTCACCATCGGCATGTTCGGTGAAACGAGATTTCCACACCTCCACTGTGTTGAATGATTTTGATTGACAGGACAAGCACGTGGACTTCGTGTGAACCATGTAAACTTGAAGAAGGAAAAGAAAAGCCGACGATTACTGTCAAATTGATTTGTTAATCTTAAATAATGATTGCTTTTACTGCCTGGAAAATTTAGAAAAAATAATAAGAATTTTTATTTGATACAACAGATATCTGAGAATGGAGGGGTTATTTCTCTCTCGTACATTTATCTGTTCAATAACTATGACAGCATATTACTTATTTAATTTTGAAAATCTAATCTATAACAAATAATTTAATTGCCTATTTCCATCATCTTGTCCAAGTATAATCAGGGCCGGGACATGTAGAAGTTTGCTAAAATAATCATCATAAAAAAGAAAAATAAATAAATAATATCTTGCATTAAAATTTTAAAATACGAGTCTATGTATGTAATACACCAAGAAACATTTGTAAATTAAAAAAAAAAATCCGTTATTTTACTCGGAATCGCCTTGACACGGACATATGATTGTTACAACCGTGGTACAACGTAATTAATTCATACGATAAGTAGTAGTTTTACCTTCTAAAGTTCACATCATTTCATTAATTCAAAGAATAAACATATTTACCATGTAAGTAGATTAATTTTATATTCATACTACACGCATTCAGTAACAAATACAAATGTTTTACGGCAATAAAAATCTTGATATTAAAATATCGATTTAAAACATCAAACGTATGTGCAGAAAAAATGTTTTTATTATTTAGTTATTTATCTATTGTTTATTTATATTTTAGCACATGAAATTAGAATAGAATAATAGAATAATTTCAATGCAAGGAAAAGATCGGAGGCATTCCGAATAAATCGTTTATCTTGCGTTCATCATTCGTTCACCGTTTATTTTGCGCTCGCGTTTGCGCTCCGTTCGCATCCTGTGTTCACTCACCGTTCACCGTTCACACATCTTTCACCAAGCTGCGTTCAGCGTTCGCACATCATTCATTCACCGTTCGCTCTGCGTTCGTTCAGTTTCGTTCAACCTTCATTCTCCGTTCAGGTGGGAAAGTAAAACGTTTCAGGGACTGTACGATAAAGTCATGTCCGCTATCGCATCCTCATCATGGCGCTATTGCTCCGTTGCAACATTGGCCCACCTTTGCGTAACTATCAACGCACCATCGACACAAAAGTCCATGTGCTATATTGAACAACGTGGCGCAATTCATATTGCAAATGAACAAGAAAACTACTGCTATTATTACGGTTAACATATATGACAGTAAACATGGAGATACATGTATACTTTTGTTTTATCTATTTCTATGTAAGATTTTCGTAAGATAGGAAAATATTATAGTTTTTGGTCCGTATGCTACATTGATGGAAGAAACCACCTCTGAGAAAGTTTTATCAAATTTGATTGTGAATGAATTGATAATGAAAAACGGTTTACATTAGAAATATAAAAGAAGAAATGTTTCATTATTTCAGTATTTTAAATCTTTGATGTTTTAAAAATATTGAAATATCTCTGACCTTAGTATTAATTATTTGGCAGGAATGTGTTAACGAGGGACTGGAGTTGAAGCGGTCAGTCCATGCTAAGATAGATCCCATCTGTAGAAAGGACCCTATTGTTTCTGTTTTTTTTAGACGAATCCTCCATTCTACGACCCTTCAGTGGAGATAATTCCAGCCCCGTGGACAGACCCGGAGGTTGTAGTTACGACCAAGGAACTGATGACAGAGATTGGACAGGTGCCCGTTCTTGTGAAGAAGGAGATTGACGGCTTTGTCCTCAATAGGATTCAGTACGCAATCATTGGGGAATGCTGGCGACTATATGAGGTGTACATTTACTTACCAAAAAAATTTTCTTAATGATTTAGAAAATAACAGTTTCTTCCTACAGATTTCAACATTGTTACGCATTGGAGTACCCATCTCTTATCCGCAACTTCTCTTATACCACTGAATGAAATTTAATGAAACTTTCACAGATTCTTTGTTACATAGTGTCATTGTGCACCTTTTATTTCATTTTTTTGTTCCAAGGCATATTTCGGGTTTCCCATAGCAAAACATGGACACTGCCATTTTTCTATAACATTGAAGGGTACCCATCTCTTATCCACAACTCCTCCTTTACCACTGAATAAAAGTTTATGATACTTTCACATATTCTTTATTACATAATGCACCTCTGAAAATTCTATTTTACTTTTTGATCTGACACTTATTTCGGATCTCCCAGTACAAAACATGGACTTTGCCATTCTAATCATATTGGGAGTGGTGGGGCGTATTAGTGAGCCCACTACTCACAGTACCTCTAGTACATGTTTATCGGAATTTGTTTTAAAAACAACAGAACGTAAGTTTATTTTGATAAATTTTCATTCTAAAAGATAGCACTGCAAAAACAATCGTTGTGATGACTTTAACTACATGTATAAATCCTGCAAATAGTTTTGATTTAATAAATTTATTTAACTTCATGAAGAAAGCTTAAACCTGGTATATCAACAGCTTTTTTTATTTTGCAGGGAGTAATGAGTGCGGAGGACATTGATAAGGTGATGTCAGAGGGTTTAGGACGGAGGTACGCTTTCATGGGTCCCCTGGAAACAGCCTTCCTTAACGCTGACGGTAAGCATGCATGTTCTTTAGACGCTACAAAATGGTTAAGAGTACATGTAGTCATTTTAATTTTAGTTCAACGTTTATTGATCCTACTATTCCTTCTTATCAGTTCTTTAGACGATTCCATAGTAGAACATACGTTTAGGTTTTTTTTCAGTCTCCTTTCTAAATGGCATACGAGGGTTGAATACTAGTTTTGAATTGAACATATTTTATTGCAATAAATATATCATGGGAGTGGCCTCGTGTACTTATCTTACCTTGACCTTTGGAATGACATATATGGAGATAACAAACAGTATTCTAGCTCAGAAGTACATTAAACAATGAAGAATAGGAGCAGAGCAAACACGGACCTGTTGGGATCAGGTGCCATGGGGGAGTGATGCCTACTGGGCAAGACAAAATACACTGTAATGGCCCATATTGTTAAAAGTCAAATTAGATAACCTTTACTTGGCAAAAGTACAGTTTAATTGCTCAGGAAACAACTCATTCTATTACATTTGCACCTCTTACTAATCCTGTAATGTTTACTTACTTATAAATACATAAATTCGTAAGTTGCACTGACAAAAGTACCAAGAAAAAGTAAACCCTTTACACTTCTTACTTATTTGGAGTTGAACATGACTTTGGAAACATTCAATCCAATCTAACTAACCAAGAAGTAAAACGTATATATTGCTTTAGAAAACAGCAGTACGGTTTTAATAAAATATTGTTTGAATTTCACTAGTTAAGACATGAAAGTACATGTTAACAGGTACTCTAATGAGATTAAGCTTTTCCCTTTTTTGTTCATCATAGGACTGCTCGTTTTTGGGGATCTATACTGTGAGACATTATACAGAGTTCAGTGTTCGTTCGGTCCTCCACAGAAAATGGAGGGACCCACTCTGGAAAAAATACACAACGAAATCGCAGCCAGAATCCCGCTGGAAAAACTCTACGAGAGAAGAAAATGGCGGGACATTCGTCTTGCATCACTCCAGAAATTAAAGAACGAACTAGACGAATCTCATTCATAGACTTTGCTTTCACTGGAAATAAGTTTCTCTTGATATTTTACTGTTTATGTCTAGAGATTGGTTAAGAAAAACTCTTGTTCAGCAAAACACTCATAACGATAACCTTTTGGTAAAGTTGTTGTCATACTGCTATTTGAATTCATATTTTGTTACTAGTAATATGTAACAAACAATTCTGAAATACATGTATGCAATCCAGTACTAAAAATAAAAATTAAAGTCATTGAAATCCTTCGTATTATTCTTGGAGAGTTAGTAGAATATATTATACTAATGTGCCTAATCAGCTATTATTTGATTTGAAATAAACATTGATATAATTTGTGGTTTAATTTTTGATTTAAACATATTTTATTAAACACAATCAATAGGATTAAACAGAATATAAGTTATACCAACTTAGATTGTCCTCTCCAACACAAACAAAATAACAAAAATATACGTGATGTACAAGAAACAAATATACAATAATATAAAAAAAGAAGAAGGAAGAGGGTGCAGAGAAACAATAAAGAAAGGGAATGGGAGTGCAAGGAGAAAAGAAAGAAGGAGGGCCGGGTTGTAAAAAATACAAAATGGTTATGCTGGTTATTCATAAAGAAAGTGGGCGCACAGTCGACGGGAATCATTGACACGAAACAATTCAGATTTAAATGTCCAAGTACCATGCAGTTTTAATACATATCTTATACAATGAACCTAGAAACTTCAAGAACTCGAAAATCTCGTGCGCATCTGTCTCTGTCGCTAAGGAGGCCAAATATGCATATAAATCTCGTGCGGCTGCCTTTGTGTTTGACGTCAGTGGGCGCGGACTATTGAAATTGGCAATGAGTCCTCGTGTAATTTAAATCTATGTCTGCATTTTTAAAGTCTTTTTAAAGGCTTCGCCCATTACGCAAATTATCCCATGTTTCCCACTATCATTGATGCCCTGGCATACAATACTAACTAGACATTGATTCCTTAAATAATTCTGCCGGAATGTAAATTAGGCAGGTCAGGAGCTAATAAGGTCTAATATGAATGTAAATCTCATGTGCATCTGTCTCTGTGTCTGATGCTAAGGAGGCCCATGGGAGTCCTCTTGTAATTTAAATCTATGTCTACATTTTAAAAGTCTAATGCCTAGGTCACATTTAAGTCGATGGTCGGGCGACTAAATTTTTCTGGTCTTGTTGGCTGAAAGAACAGTCATGATCGGTCGACACAAGTATCGGGCGACACGGAGCGGTCACATTAATTCCTAAGAACACCGATGACTTGGATAAATAACACAAAAAAATCTTTTTTTCTTTACAAATAAGGAATGTTTTTTGTTAGATCTATATTCAGATAGGTGACGTGAGTAATGTTTGCAACGCAAAGTGGCAGAATTTTGTAAGATTGTGACTAAATGTTGAAATGTGTGCAAAATTTTGTATAGAATTGCATAAAAAACGACAAATGGCGCACGTCTAAGCAGCAAAGAATACGTAAGATTTCTTTATATCTTACGGATTACTTATTTATGTTATTTCCGTTCAAAAAATATATATCAATCCATGCATTAAATTTTTGTTCATGTTATGTATCCTTAATATGTTAAATATATTTACAAGTCGGCTAATCGTCGCCCGATCGTCGAGCTCTGAGCTACAGTTTGGTTTTAACCGTCGGCCGAAATTTTGGACACCCTTATTGTCGCAGGACGGACGACCGACTTAATAAACTGACCGCCGATGGTCGGACGATGAGCAAGGGTTGCTCGACGGATAACTTAAATTGAAGAAATCGGCCACCGACGCAGAAAAAATTATAACTCGGACCGATAGACACAAAATTGGTCGGCCGACATAAGAGGTACAACGGCCGATGAACTGCTGACTCAATCGCATCATCTTGGGTCTTTCCGTCAGAGGTCGGAAAATCAACCTTGAATGTATTAACATCACCGGATATTAAAAATTTATACATCTTCCTGTTTATTCAAATACAAATAGACGGATTTAGAAGTCCCTTCTTTAGTATATTCCAAGTAATATCATTATATTTAATAAAGTTAAACTCCATATTCCACAGAGAAAAGGTCTCCATGCATTTATTTCAAAGATCGTGAAAAGGGAGGGTTGTCATGGCGTCTACCATATACATTCGAGGTCGTTTTTCCGCTAGTCGGAAAGGCCCGAGAAGTTGCGATTGCTGCCAATTGTCACTCGAAGAATCCCATTTTTGCTTCAAAAACCTTCGGCCGTTCGTCGTTTTTGGAAATGGGACTCCCACTGACGGCGTAACGCTCATTTTCCCCACTTTGTCCTTTGTTACCTGTTAAAATTTTTAAATTTCAAACGTTATATGACAATTTTGATCTGTACCGTATTACCAGAGCATGGGGCAACATGAAAAAACATAATGAACTTATTCATAAAGATTTTATTTCTATATAGGATACTGACCCATAAAGTTGGTAAGGTTATAGAGGGAACACCACAGGCACCTGAAGTGTGGATCGTTAACACCCCCCCCCCCCCCCATATATTCATGGAAAGTCAAACGTTGCAATATTCGATCTTTTCCATCTGTTTTGTAAAAGAGCAAGAGCCATGTTATACATAAAATAGCCCTGTACTTACTCGTATATCAATTAATTAACTATCACCCTCTTTCCGATTTCATATATCAAAATAAAGTAGACACTTGGTGCTTTAATTTTCTATAATAAAATTTTGTTTTTGAGAATCTACAAATTGGAAAACAGGTTTATGAAATTGCAATGTTCTTGAAATTTGCAGAAAACATGTGTATTTGACTACCTTCAGCAAAGAATTAAAATATGAGCACAGCCTACGATCCAAAAATAAAACGTTTTATGATCTTCAGAAACAGAGCTTTCATTATGTATTTGCATATTTTGGATCAGAGGTTGTGCTCTATTTGAAATATTGAAAAAACACTTCAATTTTAGGTGATTTTCAAAGGAATTTACAGGATATGAGGAAAATGACGCATTTTATGACGTCATAATGCACTGACTTGATGGGAAATTACGTCACGATTAATAGATACATGGTCACCAACACTCCAAGTGATGAATACTGCATTTGCAACCTAGACCGAGCGGTTTTGATTTTTCAGAAATTCTCAGGGCCAAATAATGCCCAAAGTGGCTCTGGCTCTTTTCCATTTGTATCATATTATTTTTATTTGTATTGTATAATTTTCCATTTGTATTCTATAATTTTCCATTTGCATTATATATTTGCCAATTGCATTGTATAATTTTTCAATTATATTGTAATAATTATATATTATATATAGAATACAAATAAAAAATTGTACAATACAAATGCTTTTCATATAAATGTAAAATTTTACGATACAAATGAAAAATTATACAATGCAAATGGAAAATAGGCCTATAGAATACAAATGAAAAATTATACTATACAAATGATTTTTTTTACAATATAAATGAAAAATATACAGTGCAAATGAAAAATTATAGAATGCAAATGGCAAATATATAATGCAAATGGAAAACAGGTCTCTTAATTTATTACTTTTTATGCCCCCTATAAATTTCACCTTTAATCCACAAGGGGTCATTTTTCTTCGCGTAGGGTATGCATATTTTAAAGGTGATGACACCTTTTTACTACGGGCAAAAGTGTCATTTTTCGACGTAGAATAATGACCGGGGGCCCCCGGTCAGTATTCTATGGGGGTCATTTTTCGTCTTTACTTTGTCATATATATGTAAAATACCGTTTTGGGGTCAAGAAGATGACAAATTAATGAATTTGAGAAAAAATTAGTATTTCATATGAATATTTTAATTTGATGTAATAGAGGGCAAGATTGCTCCAACTAAATCTCCCAATATAGTGTATAAAATCATCAAAATTTTCAAAATGTAAATGTTATAATGGAGCAGGTTTGCATTTTGTAAATTCTATGGCCACATTTTGTCCATTTCCTCCTATTTTTTAAACAGCTGATACACATAAAACAAATAAAAATCAAAATACCAAATGAATATTACGTAAAATTGGAGCGCAAGCAGTGTCAACGTTGAAAGTGTATTGTAAAAATTCTAGACATAGAATCTAAAATCGCCAAATAAAATCGCTAGTTTCATGTTTGAACTTTTATATACATGTACTTATATGCTTGCACTTTTTGATTAAAGGTAGGCACGAGGCGTGTGAAAATCACATGTGCTATCCTCTGAAATCAGAGGATAAACTATCCCACAATGCAATGCGGTTTCCATGTATGGTGAAAGAATTGGCCGCCATATTGACTCTAATTTTCCTCCAAAAACAGAGGCCGCCCATACCTGTTAAAAATAATGGACAAACCAAAGCAATAAAAATATAATAAATTATTAAAAAGTTTTATTTTAGACACCAAATATATTTTGTTTTTAAATGGCATCGTTACTGGGAAAATAGCTGTTTATTTTAGAGGATATTGTTCTAGGAATCTCCAGAATTAACAGGTTGAATTTGCATTCCCTGAATAACCCTAGACCTGTGTATTTCCAACTTCGTTTTGAGGTAAATTAATCCTATCCTCTTTTTTATTCTTTTTCGATCTAAAGTATTTAACAGAAATGATCACTAGTCCTATCATCACAATTACTATAACACCAATCACAGGTACTAGCCACCATTTTGTGCCTGAAATTAAAAAAAATAAAGATTATCAAAATCAGTTAACAGCAAAAAGAGTGAAAAATATTTTATATAATTTTTTTTACCAGTCAATAGTAATGCATCAATAATGTTGAAATGTATACATCACCCCAACTAATGTTATTATGATTTTTAATTCAAGTCACATGGTGTAGGTTGATCCATTCAAAGGTTTTAAGGAAGAACCATAGGCGCTCCCCATGTAAGTTTGTATATGACGAAATGATGAGTCTACATAGGTCAACCCCTCTATACTATAAGGCATGCAACTACCCGCCATATTGGCGGGTCTCTCTTAAAAGTCTCTCTTATAATGTATAGTGGGGTATTTTTTGTGGAACGATTATTTTGGGTTTTTCACGATTTTTTCCTATTGTACACATTTTTTATTGTATTTAGCTTGAAGTATAAGACACAGTGGACTCTGACACAACTAGCTGCATAGTATTTGGATATTATGCTAGAAAAAGACAAAATGTCATATTAAAAATGGAGGAATAAAACATTGTCACCTGAATGTAAGGTTTATGGATACTAGATAATTCACATGAAAGAATGATCTTTGTGCGAATTCTACTTAAAGCGGCAGTCTATGATGAATAAGATTAAACAAGTTAACAGGTTTCATTAATCGCTGTTAAATTAAAATTTAGAAAAAAAATCTACGGGGGAAAGGATATCTTTGTTTACAAATGTAATCTGTATTTGGATAAATGTAAAGGATGATAATAACGACCAGTGGTCGATCTTAAAAATTCTAGGAACAATGCCATATATAGTGTCAATATGGCATAAAAAGGGACCCCTGGAAGTTCCAGAGGTAGGATCAGTGTGCCTAAGATTAGTGTGCATCTCATGTTGACCGGTAACACCAGTAGGAGGCCTAATGAATTTATTTAGGATACATTGCTTGTAAAAAGTCTCATGAAAACAATTCTAAGTGTGAAACAAATCAGCCCAAAATATGACGTACGTATATAATATTAGCTTACCATTAGAGACCATAGAAAATAAGAAATTCTAATTCTAGATTTAAATCCCTATAACATCGACCTATTAGGGGTAACGTGGTTCAAATATTGATCATAAGCAAAGCAAGCTCTTAATTAGCGAATAATTTGGGAGGAATTAACACCATGAGCAGGTGATTGTTTTATACTATACTACATAAAATTTATGAATGTCGAATTGCAGACCACAGCAAGTGGTTTTTTCTTTTCTCATGTTTGTTGTTTCACGTCCCTATCGAAATTTTTTCACTCATATGGAGGTGCCACCACTTGCCGGCGGAGAGTTGCAAATATTTTCCTAATCTCGGCACTTAGGGTCATTAAGCAGTGCTGGATCTTTTTCGTGCACATACTTCTGCGACGGGGGACCTTGGTGTATGCTGTCTCATCTGAAGGACCGGTCTCACTCCCCCAGTGGGATTCGAACCTGCGATGTAAGGATTAACTCCTTACTCCGCGACCCTAGAGCAGACGCTCTAACCCCTTTGCCCCACAGACAGAAGTTCATGAGTGAATTCTGCTTCATGAAAACATTTTAATTTATCGTGTGCAACTGTCGTAGAAAATGTAGAAAAGTTTTGATGTTACAGACTTTTGAAACAAATTGTGATTTTAAATTGTCTATAATCGCTTGAACGTTTTTGATGATCCACATTTTCTTTACATCACTAATAGCATATTCTGTAGCTGCTTCTTGGACAAATTTTCTCCTTTACAGCAGCAGTTAATTGTTTTTTAACGAGGTTGGCTCCTAATATTTTAAGTCTTATAATTACACTTTTTGTTAAGTAAATTTCTACTTTCTACACACATAGCTTAATTAAAAATTAAATCAAAATAGGGGGATTAATATGCTTATTTTGGCGCTACAGTTCATTAAATATGACCTTTTTGCACTGAAATCTGTGTTTTAATAAAAAATTATATCTTCAACGTTTTCCCTCCAATATTTTTATCCAAATAAAGCACGGAACAAAATAAAGTATAAGACTATATTAAAAAAGACACTTTAAAATTGTGACTAAGAAAAAGTTTCAAATTGCTTCGCATGATCAATTATTTGACCTTTCTGCACTCATAAAATGTAATTTTTCTGGTATTGAAAATTTAATAAGCAAGAAATTTATTTTAAATCTTAAACTTTAGCGGAATTTAAGCAGATAGGTCAAAGTTAAAAAAAAAACATCAAAAATGTGGGTATATGATGTAAATATTTAGATATTATTTAAAACTGTGTCAATTTTATTTCAAAATTGTTCCAATTTTCTCTAGACTTTCAGAATATATTCACTGCTAGTATATTTGTCATAATTCATCGAAAGAATTCATTAGAAACAATTTATTAGATATTTCAGAACAATTATATCATATTTCACTGCAAAAACAGCATGAAAAAAATGGGAATCTAAAATTAACTCTATGTTTTAAGAGGTCTATTGTTTAAAATGGACTTTTGCGTAATACATGTATTACAATTCCCTTTCCCCAAAATATATTTACACTGCATATGGTGTTTACCTGATGGCGTTGGCTTTATTGAATTATCGATTCCCATTGTAGTATTTTGCCATAAATCATCTTGTGCTTTTTCAAAATAAAACAAAAATAAGTAAATAAAGGAAAATACTCATATCTACATTTTTTTATTGCTAAAAAGAAATGCTTGACTTGATTTTTTAAAATTTTATTTCATTCAGCAAATCAATCTCCAGACTTTTTCATTTAATATATTAACTGTCTTTTAAAATATCTATTCATTAAAGAATAAAACCATATGAATTAAAATAAATAACTTGCATACCAATGTTTTGACAAAAAAACTTCCCATTCACTAAAGGACATCGACATATGTCTGTTGGGTTTGTAGTTGCATCGCAAGTTACGTTGCTCTGGCACAATTTTAATTTGCATTCAGGTATAAAGGCTAGATTTTAAAAAAAATGATATGGTGAAAAAGTGAACATTCTGGGGGGGGGGGATTAATAATGTGTCGTAGAAAAACTGCTGATAGTGTGTATTTGAATGACAAGCACACTGATTTTGATTTACATAGTATAATGATGTAAACACTTTTCATTGTTAATGCTTAAAACAACGCTCTCAAATATGGTAGCGTGCTTACTACGTATAATTCCTTGATAGTTTATACATTTACAAATTTGTCGTGACTATATAAGTTTCGGGAAAAGTTTATTGAAAAATACCACTCAGAGTTTATGATGAATATGGAACTAAAGTTTTGTACGAAAAACTAGTGGTACTGTGAGCACTTAATGATACCCCCCCCCCCCCCCCACTTAATTCCCATATGATTATACTGGCAACGTCCATGTTTTGCTCTTGCAGACCTGAAATAAGTGTCACATCAAAGAGTAAAATAGGAGGTGCACAATGACATTATGTAATGGGCGCACTTGATTTGTCTACACCTTACTACACCCGGTGTAGACGATTTACACCTGATAATCAAGTGAAATTGGGTGTAGTGTAGCAAATTCAATATGGACGTCAAAATTTCAACCATCTGAGTGGATCCTATTTGCAGACGATTTTTTAATAAAATATTTGTTGTGATTGTGAACATTTCCTAAAATCCATTTAAAACAAAACAAAATTATGAAAAGGCAAAGATTTTTTATAAAACATTTTCCTAGCTACCCATAATTACCCTTATAACTAAATATCTAGCCATAGTCAAATATATCTAGAGACTTTATCCCCCAAACTTGCAAAACTTGCGTATTTCTTATATTACAAATTATGAAGTTTTTCATTTTCCATAAAATGCACACAACACGGTCCACTAAATTACTAAAAACAAATTCATCACAATCAACCTATCAAATACTTGACAGTAAACTCAAATACAGAAAAAAATCTGCAGTTTTACTGTCTCTTCATTTTTCAGCCATATTGAATTTTCGGTGTAATTACCTACACATGCCCTGCACAGGGTGTAGAAGGTGTACACCTAAAGTGTACACTTTTTCACTTGATTATTGAAAAGTATACACCGGGTGTAAGGTGTAGACAAATCAAGCGCGCCCAAGGTATCTGTACACAAAATATGTGTCGGATCAAAAAGTAAAATAGAAAGTGCACAATGGCACAAAGATTGCCTGAAACTCTCAGAGTAGTTGTGGATAAGAGCACCCAAATGTACATGTAACAAACAGACGGACGTAAATCTTTCAGCCACAGATATATTTAGTTAAAAAAGCGTTTCGATCTCCGATGTTGAACCTGTCATTACATTGAAGTACATGTACTATCACCGGGGAAAATAAATGCCAAACTTATTCTTTGCCGATTAAATGTGCCGTTTTAAGGTTTCGCCAAAGGTCAACATGTCCAAAAATTAAATTTTACAGTAGCTCCGAAACTGTGCGGTTTAAAATTTTACAGTTTATAAATATATATATATATCATTGATTAACAGATAGAAAGTATCATTTAATTACAAATACTTTAAAAAAGATTTATAGAGAAAAAATGCATAGACTTTCAAAAATATACCTAAATAATTCCATATACTTTTAGTGAAAGCCATCACTGTAAAAACAGTAAGTATATATTTATCAATAAAGGGCAAAGAACAACGTTCACCTGCAGTTCAATCTGCTCATTTTTATTTGAAAAATATGTTTAAATTTCACTTGGACCCTTCGTGATTTCGATTCATATCAAATGAAAATGTCTTAATATTTTCTCTTGTCCATGTTTTATGATGTCATGAATTGCGTCATTTTCCTCAAGTCTTGAAAATTTCTTTTAAAATGGCCAAAATTTTAAGCTATTTTTGAAAATTTTGCATAACACCCAATCTCTGATCTAAAATGCTTAACTACATAATGAAAGAACTGTTTCTGAATATTCTACTCAATGAAACAATTTTTAGATCACGGGGTGGGCTCATATTTTAATCAATAGTTGAAGATGCTCAAATTCAACCATTTTCTTCAAAATTTAAGAACATTATAGTTTCATAGCCTGAGTATCAAAACTTTAAATCTCGGCGGAATTTTTTTATTGGAAATGAAAGCATTAAGTCTCTACATTATGTTAAGAACTTGGTCAGTTAATTGGTATAATGACATGGCCATTTTATGGAGTTAATGAACCTACTTCTTTGACTTAGATAACCTCTGGAAAGTTGATTTCTCTGGTTATTTTGTCCAAATGTTACTATTCGAAATCGAAAGTACATTGCGAATAGTGGATTTTATAGGGGGTCTTGTATTTATACATGTCATGCTTACAATAACAGCCCTTCAGAGACCATTCACTTCCAACTTGCGCTTCATTGATAAACATATATCATTTCTGCAATGATAGTTTTCACTAAAAGTACAGAGTTAAGCAGGTGCATTTTATTTCAAATATGCAAATTTCTTGATACTTGAGTATTTTTTCCCTCAAAAATATTTGTTGAATAGTTGTTTTTAAGTGATACTTCCTATCTGTTAATCAATGATATACATGTAATTATAAACTGTAAAAGTTTTAACTTTACACCTCACATAGATTTGAAGCTATTGTAAAAATAATTTTTTGACATCTTGACCTTTGGCAAACCTTAAATGCAAATAATTGAACCTTTTGAAACGCTTATTATAAAAATGTAATGCTGAACATACCTCCAAATTTTAGGAAGATAATATCTTTTGTACGTGTCACATCTCCGGAGACAGAAACATACAGGAATTGAAAAATCACGTTTGTTTCATTAAAATCAGTCATAAGTATATCTATTTGGACTTGTAGATCGTATTCATGCTGGTCACAATTGGGATTATGTGACGAAGAAATGTTAGGTTTTCTTTTTGTGAACTGTTGAAAGGTGTCTTCATTCTGAAATAAAACGTTTTGTCATAATTTATTCCGTTTTTTTCTTGTAAATTTAAAAATGAATTGAAAATAATAATTACAATAGCGGGTTATTTAATCGATTCTGAAAAAGTCATTTTCTATTTTTTTTATCACCATATCTTCAAAATTGCAATCTTTTAGTTTTTTCAGAGGTTTGGGATCGAATAAGCATGGGCAAGGTACACAATATAATAGGAGATAAAGTTCCAAATGTAAGTTAAAACCAGAAATAGCTTTAATACAACATATTTTGTCGTTCATAAAAATATCGACTAAGATTAACATTTGACAAAGCAGTATTTTTGGTTTTAAATATATTTTCTTATGGATGATTCACAATATATACCTATATAATAATAATAATATAGGATTCTTTTTAATAACTGACCATTGTTTAGATATTTTTTGGAGATATCGAAAAAAATGTCATCGGCATTCGTAATTTAAAGATTTTTTGTGTAAATGTCCACTTTATAACAATCTTGAAAGACATCTACATGCACTTTAAGACAGACCAGTATTTAAACACTGAGTTCCAAATGAGGACCTTAGCTCACTTATTTTAAAAGGTCCTAAATATAGGGAACCCTATATGAAAAAGAAGACGTTGACACCTTGTCAGAATGGATAAAACGTATTAGATCTATGTTTAAGTCGCGTATTAGAAGATTGAGGGGCAAAATGAAAACCATCTATCCTTCTGTGTTCAATGAACCAGAAGTGAAAAAAGAATTAGATAGATTACATGATCAATACGTACTGGTCCCTGTCGACAAAGCAGGTAACAACATTGTCTTTGTTTGTAAGGCTCATTATGTAAATTGTATTTTACATGAACTTGGATTCAATTCTACAAGTGGTAATCCTACTTATACTCATACTTCCCTTTCTAAGGAAGAAATTCTTCAAAATCATATGTCAGTTTTGAATATTTTTAATATTCCACAGAGCCAAAATGAATTTGAACTACCCTATATATATTGGATTTCGAAACTTCATAAGAATCCTTACAAACAAAGATACATTACGGGTTCCAGTAAATCTTCAACTAAGCCTCTTTCGTTACTCCTCACTAAGACATTGAGAGTAGTGAAGGAAAAACATCAAGAGTACTGCACAACAATATATTCAAGAAGTGGTGTGAATCAGATGTGGATACTCAAAAATTCAAAAGAACTTTTGGACAATTTGAAATCACAAGATTTTACCCAAATCAACAGCTTAAAAACATACAACTTCTCAACTTTATACACAACCATTCCCCACGATGAATTAAAATCCAGGCCTTTTGATATAATTGACAGCTGCTTTTTCAATAAAAACGGAACTCGAAAATTTACTTACCTTGCCATTGGTCATTTGCAAAATTATTTTGATAAAAAACATTCTGATTGTACACACAAGTACTCTGAAGTTGACTTCAAAGAGATGCTTGAGTTTCTGATTGACAATATCTATGTGGTTTTTGGAGACCAGGTATTCCAACAATCTATTGGAATTCCCATGGGAACCAATTGCGCTCCGTTATTAGCAGACCTATTTTTGTATTCATATGAAGCAGAATTTGTGCAAAATCTTATGCGTGAAAAGAAGAAAAGACTTGCTGTGGCCTTCAACTCGACCTTCAGATATATCGACGACGTATTGTCAATTAACAATGGTAATTTCCATTCCTACGTCGATACGATATATCCAGGAGAGCTTGAGATAAAAGATACCACAGAGTCTGACACATCTGTTTCATACTTGGATATTTTACTTGAAAAAGACGTTAATGGTAACCTAACAACCAAGTTATATGATAAATGTGACGACTTTAACTTTCCTTACTTGTGCAGCAATATACCTTCATCACCTGCATACGGCGTGTATGTATCTCAGTTGATTCGATACGCAAGAGCATGCTCTACGTATCAACAATTTCTAAAACGAGGTAAATTATTGACAAGCAAGTTGATGAAACAAAAATATCAGCAGTCTCGTTTAAAGTCTTCATTTCGTAAGTTCTATGGTCACTACAATGACCTTGTCAGCAAATACAATTTATCATTGAGCCAAATGCTAACTGACGTTTTTCATACCAATTGTTAGTCCATTATTTATACAAAGAATTGACGACAGATTTTTCTGTTATTTCACGATCATGACAATGAGCAAACGGCGGGTGTGACTGGTCAACAGGGGATGCTCACTCCTCCATCGCTCCTGATCCCACCTCTGATATTTCGGAGATCCGTGTTTGCTCTGCTCTTGTTTTGTATTGTTTTATGGACTTTGAGATTGAATACTGTTCGTTATCTCCATATCCTTCTTCCACCTGATTCCTCATCTGAAAAATCGTAACCGCGTGGACACCTTTTTACTTTGCTTTCTTCATATGTATTATCAAAGTGGTTGAATTTAAGCGAGAAACATGTATAATTTTTTTTATTTAAAAAAAATTTCCAGGCTACAAAAGGTATGCTGAATCTTAACTTTCAATTACTTTTATCTGTAATCGCCATCAAGTTAGAAGTTAGGAATTCAAACTATTCACATTTTGTCAGTAATATTAAGGAAGTAGTGTGATTTGGTCATGTTATGACTTCTGAATCCATGATAAGTTAAAAAGAAATAACACATTTTATTTTAAATAGGTTAATAAAAAATATTCATTAAATTTTTGTGAAATTAAAAACATGATTAAAAAGGACGTTCGCTGATATCGCTTGTATATAATATTTTTATAATATTGTTAGCCTTCAGTATTCAATATTATTGTAACAATAGAAAATTCATGTCTTTAACAAAATGCTGATGTAATTTGTTATAATCTATTAGATTTCTCAGATAAAATAATGTATTTTACCTCTATACGATAATGCAATACAACGTTCCGAAGATCAGGCTGCGGGTAAATGCAATTAGCAGTGGCAACTAGATGTAATGCATGTCCGTCTAATTGGAAGCCCAATTTTGGTGGGTCATTAAACATAAAAGCTTTTGGTAAAGCTGCAAAATAGGAGTTTGAAAATAAATACCACAGCAAACAAATTAAAGAAAATTCCTTTAATTGAAAATAACATAACTGAACAGAGTTGCTAAAATGTAAATATGCAAGTGCATGCTTCAGCATGTAAACAGCTAATAATTTACATGTATTTGTGGAACCGCTATAATTTAACTTAAGATATAACAATGTAATTCACTATCTATCGAGCATCGACTATTTTCCCTATGGACGATGATGGCTTGGCACGATGTTGATGACATATCAGTGAGTAAACACATTGTTATGACAATAGTGCAAATGGATTGCTATCGAAATATGTGGAGAACAATAATTGAGCTCAAAAGTACATGAGTTATTAAAAAATAGGAACGGAGCAAACACGAACCTCCAAATCAGAGATGAGATCAGTTGCCATGGAGGAGTGAGCATCCCCTTAGGAAACAGTCACACTCGCCGTGTGATCCTTGTCATGATCAGGATATAACGCAAAAATCCGTAGACAACTCAATGTGTAAACAATGACTTAACAATCAGTATGAAAAAAGTCGGTCAACAGTTGAATTCATGATACATTGTATTTGTTGAAAGGTCATTATATCGACCATAAAACTTACAAAATGATGACTTAAAACGCGACTGCTGATGCTTGCTTTAAACAGCATCAGAATTATAATATTTCCGAAATAAAACAACACACGATAAACTCTAAAGTCCATGTTAACAATTCCCTCAGCTGGCGTTTGCATCCGCGAGTAAAGAGCAAAAGTTGTCTTAAAAATTTTAATTCGCTCAAATAATGTCTTTTGTTACGTAAATTTTATGGTTAGTATGCTTAACACACGGAATTATGACGTTATTTTCGGAGCTATTATGTTATGAAAATTACAAAGTGACGTCACTATATGTTTATTTTCCGATCTTTCCAATAATATCAAACTCAATAATTTCCGTTAAGCAGGTTTAAGAGCTTTTTAAATGCCCCTCGTTAGATTTGAGGATATGAAAGAGTAGTAAACAAATTCCATATGAAAAATATGTGTTCATGTTTTGAAAAAAAACCCTTTAACGTTTAGCATTCAAGCGTTTTTCTACAGCATTGTAAGAAAAGCTAGATCACTAGCAATGCCGTTTAAATTCCGTATTTGTACTATTTGCATCATTTTTTCTTGCCTAGAAAAGCAAATTCCTTGTACCATTATCAGTTTAAATTGACTTCTGATATTTTCTTTCAAAGAGCCGTAGACATTTAAATCGCATGGAAAAAGAATGTAGATATTAGTACCTGTTCTATACTATAAATTTAAGAAGAAAAGAAAGAGATTGTGTAGTTTTATGGTGCTAGGAGACAGATTCCGAAGGTCGAGAGTTCAACCCCGGGCTGGGGTAAAAGTGGGTATCCATGTAAAAGTGAATTTCTTTGTGCTTTCTACATTAATATTTCTTCACTTAGGGCAGTTATGTTAGTTTAAGAGTTGTTGTAAAATGTGCTTTATAAATAATAATTAATTTCATCACAACATGTATTGGTAACAATCCTCTGTTTAAACTAATGTCAAAATAACTGTATCTCACTTCTATTCTCAATGACCGTGTAGTGTAGGACAGCGCCGCGAGAATTCCATCGGCATCGAAAGCAAGTTTTTAGACTTGCCTAGATAGCCGAGCGGTCTAGCGCGCTGTTCCTGCACTGCTAGGAGACAGACTGACAGATTCCGAAGGTCGAGAGTTCAACCCCGGGCTGGGGCGGAAGTGGGTATCCATGTAAAAGTGAATTTCTTTGTGCTTTCTATATATATATATATATATATATATATATATATATATATATATATATATATATATATATATATATATATATATATATATATATATATATTGTGTACTGTGTACAGCCATTTACCAGAACATGACCAATGAAATACATAATATGCTTATTTCCAATGGGGTCCTCAAAGATTGTAACAGTAAACTACTTTGCACTAATGCTTTGATATAAATAAGAATAGATAAAACAAAAACAAATAAATAAGAAAATGTATGTATCATAACTTGCTAATTGCTAACTCATTTTCAGATATTGATCTCATATTGAATAAAACCTGTTTTTTTTAAATTCTCTTTTGAAAGGAGCTTTGTTGTTGATCTCATCTGGAAGTGAATTCCCCTTCTTGATACCATTATCATAGAAAGTTTCTGACTTTACAATTCTGGGACCATACATTTCATGGTCTTGGAGCCAGGTCTTCGAAAATCACTTAGATATTGTCAACAGACACGCAAGCTTCTTTTTAAAGTCAACTTCAGAGTACTTGGGTATTATAGATTATTTTATGAAATATACAAATAATCAGTCTTAATTGACGGAAGTTACATGTAAGTCATATGGAAAGGAGGAATCACTTGGGTACAACTTGTTTAAGCACATCCACAAGAATTGAATTGTGGTATGACTTAACAACTTCCTCAACTTCCTCTTCACATAGTCTCATTGTTGCTTACAAGTATAGCTTAAAAATCAACAATCATCAGCAAGATGCCTCCAGTAAGAGCAAAAAGACGGACTCTCTCAAGAAGACAGATTGAAACCCAGCAAGTGTCACCATCCAGGGGACGACCAAGGGCCAGGAATCAAAGGAGAACAACGGATGGCACTGCCCAAACATCAACGTCCGCAGCCATTGTTAATGCGGCTGCATAACCCGAATTTGCCAACTCAACAGACGAATCCAATAACCAAAACGGTGAGTCAATCATGAATTTGCCAAGTAATTTTGATGAAGCTACACCTCAGACTCTAGATTTTACCCCTCTAGACGTTGATGAATATCAACCAGTTCAAACGCAAACAACTTTTGACCCACTAAGTGGTCACATTCCACCTAAACTGAAACAAAAATATGGGAGGGAAAATTCATTGGTTTGGCCTTACTGTTAAAATCCGCCCGGGAATTGGCTAACGAGATGGACTCAGAGGGGGAATTACAAATTAGGGATGGGAAAATGTGCTTAATCAACCAAAAGTCTAATACATACTTGTCTATAGAAAAGTGGACGTCTGCGTTTATCATTTTCTCCAGCGTTCTACTGGAGAAATACCTCACTAGGGCACAAGAGCTGCTAAAGTACATGCGTGACATTCGTCTAGCTGCATCAAGGTCTGCGGGTTGGTTTAGGTACGATGAACAGTTTAGATTAAGAAAGGTTTCTGACCCCCATTCATCATGGGGCCAAATAAATAGTGAACTTTGGTTACTTTATATCACCAATTCTAATGTCACATACAATTCAGAGCCAACACCCAAATCTCTATGCTCCCTTACAATCAGCCAAATAGGCAAAATCTTCAAATGACTACTCGTTATTGCAATATTTATAACAGTGGTAAAAATGTCAATTCTTCCCAAATTGTAGGTTCAGACACACTTGCAGATTGTACAGCGGGACCCATCCAGTGATCAACTGCAGAAAACAGTCCAACTATTAATTACTCAGTCCTTTCTAACACCAATGTATACACATTGGGCAGCACACCAATCAAAATAACTCCACTGCAAACATTTCTAGAAACATACAAAGAGAAAGAATTTTTGATAAATGGTTTTCAATTTGGTTTTCAATTACAATACAATGGCCCTAGAAGACCCAGACAAGCTAAGAATCTTAAAAGCGCATATCAGCACCCTAATATTGTTCACCAAAAAATCAACAAAGAATTAGCTCTGCAAAGAATGAGTGGCCCCATTCAGCATCCCCCTTTCTCAACACTTCAGATTTCACCTCTAGGACTTTTACCCCAAAAAGATGGGGATTTCAGACTTATCCACCACCTATCATACCCAGAAAATGACTCCATCAATTATTACATAGATCAGTCAGCTTGTTCAGTTCATTACTCCCACATTGACGATGCAGCAGCCATGATAGCCCTTATGGGTGAAGGTACATTGTTAGCTAAATCAGACACCAAGTCAGCATTCAGACTCATACCAGTCGCCCCCTCCGATTTTGATTTGCTAGGTTTTAAATTTCGTGACGAATATTATTTTGATAAAATGATGCCAATGGTGCCTCAATCAGTTGTGCAGTCTGGGAAAAATTTGCTACCGCATTGCACTGGATAACCCAGAAAATCTCACGTAACCCAAATATCTTACACTACCTTGACAATTTCTTATTCGCAGGCAAATCGCATTCTTAATAGTGTGAAAATACTCTATCTGTATTTCAAAATATTTGCCAAGAGTTGGGGGTCCCAATAGCACATGAAAAAACTACAACCCCAGCCACAAGTTTAATATTCCTAGGTATAGAACTAGACACAATAGAAATGGTAATGAAACTCCCACAAGACAAGTTAACCAATCTTAAACATACCATCCAAACCTGTTTGTCTAGCAAAAAGATCACCCTTAAATCCCTACAATCCCTCATCGGCCTGCTTAATTTTGCCTGTAAAGTAGTGGCACCTGGGAGAGCATTCTGCAGGAGGCTAATTGATGCAACCATGGGCATCAGGAAGCCACGTCATAAGTTAAGAGTTACTTTAGAAATGAAAGCCGACTTGCTAGTGTGGTTGAAATTCTTACAAAATTACAATGGGGTCACGGTAATATCAAACAACATCTGGACATCAGACACTTTCTTACAGCTATTTACTGACAGCGCTGGGGGGCAAAATGGGGGGTTCGGAATCTTTTTCTCTGGAAGTTGGGCTTATTCAAAATGGCCACAATAGTGGGTACATATCATCCGAGATATGACGTTTTTGGAATTATTCCCAGTATATGTTGCAGTTCTGATCTGGCACGAGTCTCTAGCAAACAAGTGTATATTATTTCACATAGATAATATGACCGTGGTACAGGTTTTGAACAACTCCATATCCAAATCCAAAACAGTAATGAAAATTGTCCGAGAATTGGTCCTTATTACTCTACAATATAATATCACAATAAAAGCCCAGCATATCCCAACTAAGCAAAATTCTATAGCAGACTGTATTTCTCGTTCACAGTGGATAAAATTTCACCAGCTGGCACCAGACGCAGAACAGCGGCCCACACAACTTCCACCTCAGATATGGAATATTTGGTCGCCGAATCAGAACGCCTAATTCAAAAATCTTTGTCACAAAACTCCAAACAGGCTTATAATGCAGCCCTTAAAAAATTCCATGGCTTTCTGAAATCGTACAACCTCAAAGAAATTTGGCCCATTCCTACAGATATAATCCGCAACTTTATTGCTTATCTGTCAATACAAGGGTTTTCTGCAAACACAGTCGAACTCTATGTACGGGCACTTTCCTTTTACCACAAGCTAAAAGGATTACAAGACACCACTAAGTCATTCCTTATAGCCAAAGCACTTGAAGGCCTCAAACGCACAATAGGAAGAGCAGTGGATACTCGCTGCCCAATCGCCCGCCCTCTGCTTAGATAGTTAATCCTATCTCTCCCCGCAATATGCTCCTCACCATATGAAGCTACATTATTCACCTCTGTCTTTCACTCGCTTAATTTGGCTTACTCAGGATAGGGGAATTTACCAGCACAAACAAAGAAAAATACTCACACTGCATACAATTTCAAAATGTATCAATACATAACCAACAATCACATATCAAAGTGACTATCCCTCACTCAAAGACAGTTCAAAAACCCATAAAACAACACTCATCATTTACAAAGAGTTGGACATAGTCTTGTGTCCTGTTCGAGCTGCCAGCAGTTATTTGAATATTCGCCCCTCAACATCACCATCAGACCCTTTTTCATTCACATTAACTTAAAACCTTTAACAAGATATCAATTTAACGCAGTCCTTCAGAAAGCCCTTCTCTCTATAGGTAAACAGGGGCATTTCTGTACTCATAGTTTCAGAATAGGGAGGGCAACAGATATGGCCCTACATGGGGTGTCAGACGAAGTCACAAAAGCCTCAGGCAGGTGGAAGTCACAAGTTTACTCCTCTTATGTCAGAATGTAGTTAGTTTATAACAAGTTAAGCCAAAAAAAAAAACTTTTTTCTAATCCAAGCAAAATTTTTTCAGGTGACCTGAAAAACATTTGGATAGTGGGATCCTCAATCCCTTATTAGGCCGGAGAGCTGGCTGCCACCCAGCCGGGTGGCAGGAACCTAAACCTACCAGCCTGCATCAAATGGCATGCCATAAGGGGATTGCATTGGCAACAACTTGACCCTCACATCTTGAAATTGCTGAAAAACTCCACACCCCCATAACTTTTAGTTATCCACCTAGGTTCAAATGACCTGACAACAGAAGGTTTGACTAGTAAAAAACTCATAGAAGAAATACAGTGCATATTCCTACGCTATAATGCATTATTACCCAATACTAAATTAGTATGGTCTTCTATATTACCCCTCCTCTACTGGCATGGGGCTCTACTCAACTGCGAAGGCAAAATTGATAAGAAAAGGAAAAAGATAAACAGAAAAATCAGATCATTTGTTTTGGACCTGGGTGAAGCTGTTATTTCTCACCATAACATATCCGCAAAATCTATAGAATTATTCAGATATGACGGGACACATCTCTCAGAGACAGGAAACCATTTGTACCTTCATAATCTCCGGGGGGGGGGAGCTATCATCATTTCTGTCCAATACAGCCATGGAATTTCCATAGAGGTCTACATTAGATCCATTTTCATATTACAGAAATCAACGGTTTAAGTATGTTACTGTATAGGTAGATGGAGGAACATTATATCAATGTTTTATGGCGGGTCTGGGGGGACCTAAGAGGGGTTTTCGGGACATTTCTGGCCTGTGCTTGCCCCATCTGTCAACTAAGACAGAGGGCAGTTGTTGTTTTGTGGGGAAAGTATTACCCCTTATGTAGTTTATGGTTGGGGTTCTACAAGTTTAAGCCATACTTGGTGCCCCATTCACCTCTTTTAAAAGGAGGGAAGGCTCACAGTCTGGAGTACTCAGTGTCAGTAAGTACTATCGAACTAGGGAGCAATCTTTTGGAAACAGGGTAAACAGATATGTCCCAGGCCATTCCCGTCCACATGCTAGTTGTCAAGAATTGGGACTTCACTGGCACTTGTGCTCAACACAAGGCCTGCGTCATGCCTATTATGTACCTTTGCGTGTTGGTATTTCGGCCGTAACCCCAGACCTCTTATAAAGATTTGGGGGCAATGTGGCCATTTATGTCCATTATCCGTAGACTTTAGACGTACAGTGACTTTACAGTGAATGTTGACAATTGTGTATTCGAATGTTGTGATTATAATAATTGGTGTAATACTACTGTTGCTGAAGTTGAATAAATGTTAAATGAACTCGTGAGTTTTGTTATACATTCCTCAAGGCATAGGAATAGTGATAATGCTATCGACAGTATGAATTGCAATGAAATTCAGTATGCAGATATGGTTCTATGAGAAATTAGAAAGCAATTGAAATACCACCAAAAAAAAAGTTGGCAATGGTTGAGGCAATACAGCTCAACGCACTTTTTAAGCTCACATGGTTTTTCGCACAAATTAAGGTCACATTGTTGTAATAAGAATTACCATTTTCGAACTGCAGTACAATGAATAACCCCACGTTACATTACATTTATAATTTTCAATCATAGATGTCATTTAAAATTATTATCTTAAGTTTCCAAAATGGATGTTTTAAGGGGAATTTATATGTAAATGGTACGATGTTTCGACTATACGATTCTGCCATAGGTTTTTAACAATTGTATAAAACGAGCTTTCCTTGATATCATGTAGTTGAAATTTTTAAATTTTATTCTTAAAGGTAATTAGTTTTTAAAATTCTTTGTTCATTTACCATACTCCTAATGGTTTCGTCGAAATTAAGCGCCGAAAAGGGATAACACTGCAAAAGAAAACCACACTGAAGGGTAGGATAATGAAGTATTGTTTATTTTTTTGAAATAGTAAATTCCTTCTATGAAAAGGAAAATTCCTCTAATTTACGGTCTGAATGGTTAGAATTTTGCAGTGGGATGAATCTTTCATGAGTCCAGAATTTAGAAGTTGACTCTGAAAAATCCCACGTTATTAACATACAAAGCAGTCAAACAGATGAAAAATACTAATATCACCCCGAGCTAAAGAGTCAAAATGTACAGAAAATACAAGTTTCAGTAGCTAAACTGTGCCCATGTCTACGTTTCTGCAAAGAGCTATAGCTTTCAAAAGAACGGGTAAAAAGACAATTGCAATTGGCAAGAAACCACAAAAATTCAAATGAGAGTAGTTGTTATTTTTCAGCCATGAAAATATCAAAGTTCTACCAATTGATATGTGTGAATTATGTTTTAGTAAATGAAATACCTCCTGTAAAACTCAAAAATTTTAAACAAATACTTTTAAAATGTAATTTGATGCCTCGATACACAATATTACATCATAACAATGTGACCTTAATTTGTGCGAAAAACCATGTGACCTTAAAAAGTTTGTTGAGCTGTATACAGACTGTTCAATTAATATAGATTATTTTATGAAATATACAAATAATCACTCTTAATGGACGGAAGTAAATGTAAGTCATATGGAAAGGAGGAATCACTTGGGTACAACTTGTTTAAGCACATCCACAGGAAGTGAATTGTGGTATGACTTAACAACTTCCTCAACTTCCTCTTCACATTTTCCCGCCGAGGTAGTCTCATTGTTCCTACAAGTATAGCTTAAAAACCCACCAACCCAAGCCCCCTTTTTTCTGTTATAAATTATGTCAATTTTATACAATGTTCACTTTAACAAATGCAACAGTAATCTGCGTCCAGGTTTCCCTTTTTCAGATTCACCAAAAGTCGAGTCGGGGATTGACAATACCAATCAGCATCCAAGACATGAAAACCTTACCAGCCAGACCACCGGAGGGTATACTCCTTATCCTTGTTCAGGATCCTATAATCATGAACAATTTTCTATTCAAACCTCATTTAGTGACACAAAACAAAACTAGAAGATCAAATAACCACAAACATTACATACTCTTAATCTGTCGCATTGTCCTCTTTTGTGATTGGCGGGTCTGGGGGGACCTAAGGGGGGTTTTTCGGGACATTTCTGGCCTGTGTTTCCCCCATCTGTCAATTAAGACAGAGGGCAGTTGTTGTTTGTGGGGAAAGTATTACCCCTTATGTAGTTTATGGTTGGGGTTCTACAAGTTTAAGGCATACTTGGTGCCCCATTCATCTCTTTTAAAAGGAGGGAAGGCTCACAGTCTGGAGTACTCAGTGTCAGTAAGTACTATCGAACCAGGGAGCAATCTTTTGGAAACAGGGTAAACAGATATGTCCCAGGCCATTCCCGTCCACATGCTAGTTGTCAAGCATTGGGACTTCACTGGCACTTGTGCTCAACACAAGGCCTCCGTCATGCCCGTTATGCACCTTTGCGTGTTGGTATTTCGGCCGTAACCCCAGACCTCCTATAAAGATTTGGATACAATGTGGTCATTTATGTCCATTATCCGTAGACTTTACAGTGACTTTACAGTGAATGTCGACAACTGTGTATTCGAATGCTGTAATTATAATAATTGGTGTAATACTACTGTTGCTGAAGTTGAATAAATGTGAAATGAACTCGTGAGTCTTGTTATACATTCCTCAAGGCATAGGAATAGCGATAATGCTATCGACAGTATGAATTGCAATGGAATTTAGTATGCAGAATGGTTCTATGAGAAATTAGAAAGCAATTGAAATACCAACCAAAAAAAAAAGTTGGCAATGGTTGAGGCAATATACAGACTGTTCAATTAATTACTTACATGCTACGAAGAATTTTATACTGTAGTTTCCGTTTAAACGTTGAGTTCTGTAGGAACACATCCAAAATCCATCGTGCTCTTTGTAACGTGATTCCTCTATGACTAGTCTCGAAGATTCATTATTTACAGTCACTATATAATTAGGGTTTGTCGGAATTATACAATGAAGTGACTTGATATAACAAGTAGTAATGTTTGTATGAGTGGGATTATACCAAGTTATTTCTTGAGAACCTTCAGGGTATATGAAAACAAGTTCGCCGTCTCCTCCCTCTTTTGAATGCTTACTTACTTGTAGTAAGCAATGGTATTCTACATAGAAAGAAAAAAAAGGGAAAAAAATAAAATAACTGGTACCTGTCAACAAATTTTTCTCGAACATATCAATATTAATTATTTATTTAATTATTAATACTACCACATTTTTTGGATTTTGTAAAATTTGCATACAGATTTAAAAAAAAACGTGCAGTGTCCCAAATCAGGGAAATTCGAATGATATCAAAATCTGAATTGTTCCCTATCCCAAGAAAACACATTCTCTTTATTAGCTCACCTGAGCTAAAAGCTCAAGTGCTCTGAGTACCAAATGTCTAGAGTTCGTCTATATGTTTGTCCGTCCCCTGTCTGTAAACTATAAACACTTTCAACTTCTCAAGAATCAATGGGACAATTTTAACCATACGTGGTATAAAGCACCCTTGGGTAAAGGGGATTGATTTAAAATCTTAAGATGAAGGGCCAAGCCCCCTCACAAGGATAAAAGCAATCAAATGCAAATATAGGTTTGGGTGTCTATTATCTTCACGAGAATCACTGAGCGAGAAAAACTGAAACATCTGGATGTTTCTAAGTATATTATTGATAAGTATTCATATTGCAGGATTGGAATTAGCAAAGAAAATTGGGTGTCAGTATACATTTTTTTGAGCAACTGTACAATAAACTTGATCTTTTTGCATTTAAACTGTTAAGGTCAAGATCTAGTATATATTTTTATGAAAGATGCCTAAGATTAATAAAATTTAAGGACATATGATACAAACAAAAAATGGATGCCTGGATAGATATGTAAATCTTGGTCCTATTTCATTGAAAATGATGTAAAAAATAAATTTCTAGAATATAAACAAATTGTAAACATTCTAAGATGTTAAAAATTCTACCTCTCTGAAACCATCCCTATAAATCTATACAAAGATTTTTCACTTCAAATCCCATTTTTGTGAGAATTTGAATAAAAATTCAAAAACTTCGCGGTTAAACTTATTCATTTTACTCATTACAACATAAATTAAGTTGTCATTTTTTAATTTTTTGACAAAATTTGGTTTGTATCATCTGTCTTTAAGAAATTAATTCCTTTAATGATGTTTTATAAGTTAAGCTTGGTCAAATAAAGTGTTTCGGATCATAATTTGCAAGTAAACAAGATAAAAAACTGTATTTTAAACTGTCATTTTCAATGAAAAATTAAGAAAACCAGTCCTGAATCTGGAAGTTTTTTTTTCATATTCGACAAAGGAAATGTATCCAGATTGCCCACAGGTTCTCAGAAAACTGTAATTTGTATGTTCATTGCTTCTTCTTTAAAATAACATCAAATTTAACATATGTTTCGGGATTACTTTTCATGTCATTTTAAATTGAATGCCATGAAAATACCATATTTTCTACATAATTCCGTGAAGTACGGGAAAAAGAAAGTTGAAATTGATTATGACATCATAATGGATCTAGCACCACAAAATTAGTCTGAGGTAATTTATCGGTATTAGATATTGACATTAATCTAAGGTGAAAACTTTATCTGATATCCGGATATTTTACTTGAAAGAGAAGTCAATGGTAATCTAAAAACCAAGCTGTATGAAAAAAGTGTTGACTTAAACTTTCCAATCGTCAATTTTCCTTGTTTATGCTCTGATGCATCCCCTTCATCACCTGCATACGAGGTTTATATCTTTCAGTTGATTCGAAATTCAAGAATTGTACATACTTAAAGCATGCTCTTGCTTATGCAAAATTTTATTCGCAAATAAAAGTGAATGGAATTGGGCAGCAGGCAAAGACTTTTTTACAAGGTCAAGGTGAACAAATATGTAAAAAACTAAATAGACAAACATATATACAGTGTAGTAGAAAAAGAATCAAGAAAAAGAGGTAGAAGAAAATTACAGATTGAATTTTGAATTCTGCATCATTTATATATTAGTTCTAAGATTAAAGGAGTGATTTGAAAGACGAAAATGTTGTATGTTTTAAAGTGTGGGACAATTGTCAAAAATTATAGTAATAAATATTCTTTTGGTCTGAACTTGATAAACCATCTGTTCTTTAAAACATTGTTCATTGTACAAAGCACATAAATGTTGACTATGTACCGGTATATCCATATCGCCTAAAGAGACTGAGAAGTACGACTTACTTTTATTTTGTCAGCAAGGGACATTTTATCCTAATAACAAATTATTTTATCATTATCTTTTTCAAATATGCATGTTGAAATATGGTTGAACGGTGACAAAAATGTTTTATTTAACTAATTTACCTTCTTATAAATGTTTAAGAAAAGAACAGAAATATAAATACTAAAATACAATTATGGAGAAAAATATAAATAAAGTGTTAAACAATTTCATTCCAAATACAGTCTTGAAATAAAGGTTATAAACGATAATCCTTTTTAAAAATGTGAAATCACTAATTTCCGTGGGGGATTAATTTTCGTTGTTTTTGAGGTTTGGAGAGACTCACAAATTCCTGACCACCACAAAATAATAAATCTAATGTGCATTATTACTCAATACTTCTCTAACAACGAAATAAAATCCCCAAATATCAAAAAAATTCTCGTACCTCGAAATTTCCCCCCACGAAAATATGTGGTTTAACAGTAGATAGAAATCATGACATGTTAAACATGATACAAGGAATATAAACAAGGTGGGACATATAGATATTGAATACACACAACTAGTGCCATGATTCTTAGAATCACCTCACCATTGCATGAAAAATGTTAGAAAAAATTGCCATAATAAAGTGTCACGCTTCTTCTGTTTAAATTAAAATTCAGATAGGCCACATAGGGTGTACATGTAATCTTTTTTGTAGACAGAGCTGTATTCGACATAGCTACATTACATAAAATTCAGAATGGCAATCTCGAAAGATATGCACTAATGAAAATAAAACAGCTTTACGATGGGAAAAACACGGTAAACAACCCCCGGGGCCACGAACGTTTTATTTTACTCAACTCAAATCTGAGTAGAGAAAACTTAACTTTATTCTCCTGAGTTGCTAAAAACGGTAAAAAAAAGAAGGAGAAAATAACTTACCAAAAATCCAAATATTAAGCTCAAAAATCATAAAATATACTTGGAATTTCATTTTAATTGCTTAACTAATATCTGAACACAGATCCACAGTGAGCGAGTTGAATCATCAATTTAAAGGGCTTGTTGGTTATTGGACGGTTAGTCGATTTGTTACTTTCGTTTTAATTTCAAATGATTTCTTCTGTCCTGGACAAACTTCTGGAAAAGGGAATGTTCGAATTTATCTGGATAATAATTTTCACTAATATTCTTATTTTAGGTATGTATACATCAGTAATAATCAGAATTCTTGTTTAACTGTAAATAATGATTCTTGTTTCTATGAATTAGTCTATAATTTCTCATATTTTTTCAGCAATGTCAATGGGAAAAAGTTCGTTGTGTTTTAGATTTTTTTTTAAATTCTATGTACGAGGGTCTTTCAATAAATAATGCAAAATGTAATCTAAAATTGAGAAAATTACATAATGCATATTCTTACTGGCATCAATCCCTCAAAACATTTCCTGTTACCTTTCACCATGTCTTTTGTATTTGTATCTATGAACAGAAAACCTCAGTATACTCATTTTTAGGGATGCTCCGAAGGCTCTGATGAATATCATTTTCAATGCTATATCTGATATTGTTATTTTTATTGTTTTCATGTGTTCTGGGAATAAAAGGATCTCACAGTGACTGAAATCTATGGGTGATAGAAAAGCTCTCTATAATTTCCTTTTTTTAACATATTATTTTATTATTATTTCTCTACAACAACTTTGTAAACATTGCTAGTCCTTCATTTGGACGTATGTACATAATTTACTTTATCTCCCTAAATACATAAAAACTTAATAAAACATGTTCGTAGTTTATGCTTCTCTTTATCATAATAAAATGACACCTTTTTCTTTGATTCCACTTTTTATTTTCCAATTATTAAAGTACATATATTTAGTCATTTATCAATCAAGTTCATGAAATATTCTATTTTGTTAAAACGTGAGTTTTTAATACACTGCTGGCAAATTTAACGCGTGTTTTCTCTAAGGTATCATGTAAGAAAATAGGGCACCAATCCGATAGAAAAATTGTTATAATTTTTCCTTCGTAAGAATTCTTTAAAGCAATATGAGCTGAATATTGAAAATTTTTTTGTGTTATTATGATAAATTTGTATGTAACTTTTAAAAGCTTTTATGATCAATTAGACTAAAATAAAGCAGAAGAAAGACTTGTATATACAATCCACCATACAGTTTTATATAAGAAACCATTGTTATACAGGAATACAATAATATAATTTTGATTCAGTCGAAGCTCAAAATTAGTGCTTCCATCGCAAACATGAACAAGAGAAGTTTATGAAAGTTATTTTCTTCTGTTACTGAAAGAGGTTATTATACAACAAAAAATTCCCAACTCAAAGTTGAAGCTCATATTGCTTTAAAATGTTGTGGAGATGAAATGCTAAGTTTCGTAGAAATCTCTTTCCATGTTAATCTAGCATTTTTAAATATCATGAAATATACGGAGATAACTAAAAGTATTCTAGCTCAAAACTCTATTAAACAATACAAAATAGGAGCAGAGCAAACTCGATTTAATTAAATAAGATCCTTTGATCCACTCACACGAGATCGCGATCTATGTAAGCGGATCAAAGGATCCGATTTTAATCAGGTTGAAAGCAAACTGACTGACTTCACAAACAGCAGAGGTGGGATATGACGTCATGGAGGAGTGAGCATCCCCTACCAACAGGTCACACCCACCATCCGCTCCTTGTCATGATCGGGGACGTTGGGGAAAGTCCGTTGATTATTCTGTTTACATATTGGCCTTATAATTAATATGATTAAAGTCAATCATTTGACTTAATAATAAAATTTATTTGCTGACAAGGTCTTACATCGACCAGAGAACTTATTATGACTTTAAACGAGGTTGCTGATATTCTTGTGACATATGTGGCACATATTATTCATACTTATGTTCACGTCTCCATGACACCTTCATATTTTCATCTTCTTCTCCATGACTACTGGGCCAGCTAATTTTAATCAAGCTTGGCACAAAGTATTCTTGGGTGAAGGGAATTCAGTTCTTTTCAAATGAAGGGCCACGCCCTCTTTGAAGAGGAGGTAATTAGGAAATAGTGAAAAATTTTAAATAATTGCATCATTATAAAAATCCTCTCAAGAACCACTGGGCAGGGAAAGATGAAACTTATGTGGAAGCATCTTCAGTTAGTGTAGATTCAAATTTGTACAAAGCATGACCCCGGGGGTATGATGGGGCCACAATGGGGATCAAAGAGAGTTTTACATAGAAATATATAGAAAAATATCGTTAAAAATCTTCTTCTCAAGAACAGCAAAGCCATGATTAGTCATATTTAAAAATTACCAATCAGTATCAAACCCATTTAAACACATTTTTGTAGGGTGTGCTTCATTTTCATCACAATTTATTAAAAATTGAAAGCTTTGGACAAAATTTAACCACACCGGAAGTGACCTTGATCTTCGTCTGAGACCAAGGTTTCGCGTCACAACCAGGTTAAAAGAGTGTTTACCTGTACTGAAACAATCTTAGAAACAAACAATTTCAATCGTATGAAAATAATAAAGCTCGTGGCAGTCTAATTTATCATCCCAACCACTCTGAATCATCCATACAGCGGTGCACATACGTTCCAAACGCCAAAAGATATTGACCAAAAGGCACCTGTATGCACTGTCAAATCCCCAGATTTGAATCCCATTGAACACATTTGGGATTTTAATGAGGAATGTCAAAGTCCCCCCTCCACCCAATTTCAACGGTTTGGAAAGATCTATGCAGTAGGTGTGGCAACAGATGGGTTAATTTGCTATTCAGGGGTATATGGTATCCAACAGTAAAATATGTCTTGCAGTAAATAGAGCGAGTTGTTGTCTTACACCATAGAGATTATTTTGTGTGAATTTTAATTCTGAGGATATGTCATTTCCTTGACATTTTGCTGAAATATGGATCATTAACCATGAATTAAAGAAATTATTTATTGTATGCATTTGTTCTTTATGTCTTGTTAGGTGAACACTTCGAAGTTTGGTTCAGTGAATAGCAAAATATCTTTTTCTGAAAAACAGAAAATCCCTGATAAGTCATATTAAAATGAAGGCATCCTCAGGTAGTGTAGAATCAAATTAATTCATATGAGGGCCCCCGGGGTAGGGCTGAGCTACGATGGGGGATTAAATTTCGAAAAATATGAATAAATAAAAAAATCCTGCTCAAGAACAACAAAGCCATCTGTTTTATGGGCATGGAAGTGTGATCGTGTAAAATGAACATATTTTTTGTTTAACAATAATTTGTTTTGATAATGGTATTTATTACATAATTTTAGACCTTGACCGAAAGACTTTTGATACCACCTGCACTTGGGTGAACGTGTTTATTATTATCATTATTCCATTATTATCCAATTATGTCAATTTAACCTTAATGCCCAGAGTAACTCTTTATTGTAACTGTTCTTTCATGATTGTTATAAATTGGTTGCTTTTGTACAAGATCTTCAGATAAAAATTGGACCTTGCACCCTACACGCCGACATCCAGGTCGTGTGGAAACGCCAACTTTTGATCGTTATGATAAATTATTAAACAAAGTACCGACTTGTGTATTTCTACCGGTCATAAAAGCATCATTAGGTAGTTAAATATTCAAGTCCCCCTCCCCTGTAAACGTTTCAAAACTGAACTGATTTCTTTCCCTAGCCAATGTGCTCAGGTGAGCGATGTGGCCCATGGATCTCTTGTTGGTCCATGTTTGCTCTGCTCCTATTTCGTTTTATTTTATGGATTTTTAGATCACCTGAGCCGAAAGCTCAGGTGAGCTCTTTTGATCACATTTTGTTCGCCGTCCGTCTGTCTGTCCGTCTGTAAACTTTTAACATTTTCGACCTCTTCTCAAGAACCACTGGACCAATTTTGACCGAACTTGGTACGAAGAATTGTTTGGTAAAGTAGGTTTAAAATTTTGAAAATCTAGGGCCAAGTCCCTTCACAAGGGGAGATAATCAAGAAAAGACAAAATGATGGGGTCATTAAACAATCTGCTCATGAACCACTGGGCTGAAAAGCTGAAACTTATGTGGAAGCATCCCGGGGTAGTGTAGATTCTAAATTAATCAAATCATGACCCCCGGAGTTAGGGCGGGGCCACAATAGGAAATCAATAGGAAAGTTTTCCATAGGAGTATATTGGAAAAAAACTTTTTAAAAAATCTTTGTCTCAAGAACCACTTGCCCAGAAAAGCTGAAACTTATGTTGAGGGGTACAATAATAGGGAATCAAAGTTTTACATAGACAATATATTGGAAAAATCTTTTTTCCGCAACCACTGGGCCAGAAAAGCTGAAACTTATGTGGAAGCATCCTTATGCAGTGTAGATTTTAACTTGTCCAAATCATGACCTATGTGGTAGAATGAGGTCACAATATGTATCACAAGGGGGAAAATTGGTAAAGAACAGCATGGTCAAAGCTACTCAGGTGTGCGATGTGGCCCATGGGCCTCTTGTTGATCTTGAATACTTTTCGTTATCTCCATATGTTTCATTGTGTTCCTACAAATTTCAATCGACCAGTTTACTGTTACAGTTTAACGCAATATAAGTTGCATTTTTGAGTATTTTAGTGCTTAGGATTAACTAATCTTTTCAAAAATGGAACAAAGTCCCTATCATATTGAAAAAAATGTTAAAGTATTATGAAATTATCCTTTGTGTCGTCTTTACATAGACAATCAGAGGTACAACTAAACGGAAAGATAGGCAGACCAGGAGATAACCTTCATATATATGTCGTTATATGTTATTTACTTGAATACTTGTTTCATACATGGATATTTTACTTGAAAAAGACGTTAATGGTAACCTAACAACCAAGTTATATGATAAACTTGACGACTTTAACTTTTTGATCGTCAATTTTCCTTACTTGTGCTGCAATAGACATTCATCACCTGCATACGGCGTGTATATATCTCAGTTGGATCGATACGCAAGAGCATGTTTTACGTATGGACAATTTCTAAATC